CAGTGAAGATTCTACCTTCCCCACCCTGTCTGTAACTAGGCTCCCTCTTGAAAGCTTGTAAGCCAGTCACTTCTAGCCTTTGTAGCCCCCCCATTTTGGATAGCCAATGTCCAAGTTGCCCATCCCTGTCTACCCTGTGTATGCAGGGGGTGGGAATGATCCTTGTTGTAAAGATTTGTTCCCTCTTTTGAGCTCCTGCATCCATAAGTGTAGGTCAAGTTCATCAAATTGTATCAGATTACTCTTTTTTTCCTCTTCTTTCTTCTTCTAATTGAGTTCTGAGCATCCAGTCATTGAAGCCAGGACAAGTGGGTATTATCTGCATGTATGGGTGTTCTTATGCATATGCCCTCTCTTCTTAGCAGCTGGATGCTTCACTCTCCACTCTAGTTCTCTGTAGCTATGTCACTGACTCTGGGCCCAGGAGTCCCCAGGTCTTGCCACACTGCTGGCCAACCAGGTCTCTACCTGTGTTCACAAGAGCCAGACTGTTATTTGAATGCCATATGAAATTATCTCATTTCTCCATGAAAATCTCTCTACACTTCAAAAACGTAATTCCAAAGAGACATATTAGTAACTGAAATTGTTTGTTGACAGTAAGGTTAAGATCAAGAACAAGAACCCTAGTCTTTCAGATATCTTTGGTAAGCCCAGAGTGCCTGGTATAGTATTCACACAGCCACTAATGCTTGAATTAGTCAACAACATAGAGAAGGTTGAATTGGCAACTGTTTTCTAGCCAATTCAATATGATCAGACTCCAACCTCTGGAGTCAGATTTTCCTGGGGTTAAATCCTGGTTCCACTGTTGACTTAAATTCTGTTAGCCAAAATGTTCACATCTTAAGAGATAGTAACAAAACCTCTCTCATGGGGTTTCAACAAGATATAAACAGGAATACATGTGAAGAGTGTAACGCTGGGTCTGGCACGTAGGAGGCACTCAAAAAATGCGAGCTATCATTTGGACCTACCTCCCTGAGTAAGTAATCCCTAAGTAGAAGCTAATAAAAACGTGGAGACAGACAGAATTACCTGTCCTTTAGTGTGGCGCTGTAGAGTAAACTTCAAATTATAAGGTTGGTTTGAAACCACAAGGTTGGTGGTTCAAACTCACTGTCGCTCCTCAGAAGTCCTATACTTGGGTCACTACGAGTCGGAACTGACTCAATGGCACTTAATAACAACAACAACAACGTCAGGGTTATCAATCATGAATAAGGTAATAGAAAATGAACGAAAATATTAAAACATAAAATCCTTAAATTCCAGATAATTTTTTTCTTATACTTGAAATTTGCATATATTTGATCACAGATGATTCATCAGTGGAATAAAAAATGAAAGATGCTGCATAGTCAAACATCAAAGCAGGTATTCTCAAACACCTGAATATCTGTACAGATGGCAGATATATTGAAAAACTTACACACATGCTGTGTATTTACATATGTGTCTGTGTACACAATTCTTAATGACTAGCTTCAAGACTATCTTATCACTTTTTTTTTTTCTTTTCACAACTGAGGTTAAATCTGTTTCTTCCTCAACTCTTAACATGTTATCAGTTGTAAGTGCCTAGTGCCATCATTCAACTGGCAAAGTGGCAGCGTCAATGGGCTGACGCGTGGTAACAATTGTGAGGTTGGCCCAGGACCGGGCAGTGTTTTGTTCTGTTGTGAATAGGGTCACTATGAGTCAGTACCGATTCAATGCACCTAACAACAACAAGTGCGCTGGACCCCTTTGTAGGAACTGGATAAAGGTCACCAAGAGCTTAAGCTGGGTTTTCATACTTCACTCACTCCTGAGTTGAGCACTTTTGTGCAAAAGCACAACCGTATGTGGCCTGCATAACTACATGGTACATACCCACTGCAACTGAAAGAGCTGTCAAGAATTTAGCTAAGGTGAAGTGGCCAGGAGGCAGGCTTGCAGAATGTACTCTTTGGTTGCTTAAATTATTATATATTCCTGAATGTTTTGGTGTACATCCTCCTGCCCACAAATTAACATTTTTTAATTGTGCAGGCTCAAATGTTACCTTTTCTATTTCTTTCTCAAGTTTTGTTCTGCTCACCATTATATCATGGGTCATTTTCAATATTTTATATCCATATGAGGCATTTCATTAATTTTACTTACTAGTAAATTTAAAAGCATAATATCTCAGCTTATTATAAAAATATATTTTGTGTGAATCATTATACAGTTCACTTATATATATTATTATGTATTCTCACTTAATCTTATATGTAATTCTCATTTGAATGTCATTTTATTATTTGCTATGATGTCTATTATTATCTGATACTATCTTTGTTAACTCCTGTCTTCAAGCATTTTGAATAAATCAGATAACACACACACACACATACTGAGTAAATGGAGAAAGATATTCATCAAAGAGTTCAGGAGGACAAACCAGGTACCTTTCCCTTCCCTCACCTTCAGCTCCCCAGTATTGGATATTGTACCCAATAGTTTTAGAGGTGGGTGGTGAGTAGAGGGTAGAGGTTTTGTCCCTGGCAAAGCTATAGTCTTTCCATAGCAGTTCTCTCTAGCTCTAGCTCTAGCTCTAACTCTATCTCAGGGAAGAAGGGAAAAAAGAAGAGAATCCTGAGATCATCTTTAAACCTAAAACCAAAAATATTCCCTGAAGTCTTCTAGAAGTATCTATCAAATTGGCAACACAACTCTAAAGATTAAACAGGAAACTTAGAGGACAGTGAATATATGTTAATGGGGGAGGAACAACTCAAAGGAGAGTGTGAATGCTTGCTTACACAACTTAAAGAATGTCATCAATCACTGAATTATACATATGGAAATTGTTTGTGTGTGTTCTGTGTATTTCTCAACACAACAGCATAAAATAGAATTGATTCCATCATTTTAAAAAGAAGAGAGGGGGGTAAAAACTATAACCACCAACGGATCTACTGAGTTTGCCAAAATGGTCATTAAATGACTGCTGTTGGTTGGACTGCATTAAAAATCTTAATTGTTGTTGTCGTTGTTGTTTTGTGAAGTGTTGTCAAGTCGGTTCCCACCCATAACAACCCTGTATAGGGTTTCCTAGGAGAAACTGGTGGATTTGAACTGCCAACCTTGTGGTTCAAACTGACGATGCTACACCAGGACTCCTGGGTATTCCCAGACAACAATTTGCTAATTGATGTAAAAAGTAGTGTTCAAATGTTGACTAAACCACTTCTGAGTCTTTCTTGAGCTTTTCCCTTCCAGATACCCAATACTTATCTACAAAAGACACAAAATTACTTTTGTTTATTTTTTTTATTGCTTTTGTAAATTTACTTTTATTTTTATTTTTTTACTATTTGTTTTTTTATTACTTTTGTAAATTTACTTTTGTTTATTACTTCATACCCACATTTGTCTTGCCAAACTGTATGGTGGTCGCCTTCACTAAAAAGTAAGGGCGCAACTGCTGTTGTCAAATGCCACTGAGTTGGTTTCTACTCATAGTGACCCTGTATAGGGTTTCTGAGGAGCAGCTGGTGGGTTTGAAACTGTCAACCTCGTGGTTCTCAGATTACATTACACTCTTGTACCTAACTCTTTTGACCTGAATTACACAGAGTTTCAACAGCTACTTAAGGAGTAGAAATTCTGGGTTAAATACCGTGTCTCACTCACAACCACAAGAAGACAAAGTACAAAAATATTATTACAGCATTGTGCATAATAAATTGGAATCAATATAAATGTCTATCAAAAGGAGAAGACATAAAGAAAAGCATAATATGATATTTATACAATTCTTGTTGAGTGTCAAGTCAGTTCTGATTCATAGTGACCCTGTATAGGGTTTCCAAGGAGCAGCTGGTAAGTTTAAACAGTCAACCTTGTGGTTTAAACAGAACCACTGGTCCAGTGCTCATCCTACAGCACCACACCAGGACTCCATATTCATACAATGGAACCCATATAAGTTCAATCGCAAACGTAATGCTGAATAGAAGAAAAGCAATTTGTACGGTTCATATAACAGTTCATAGTACTGTTCATATAAGGATTAAAAACCTACAACTGCTATCTCTGTTTTAAAGAAATTGTTGTGACTACAGTCCTGCATGTTCCTCTACAGACACTGAACACCTAAGGGATATAGAAATTTAGGGTTGAAAAGTGCCTATCAAGTGTATTAAGTTCCCCCCAAAACACAGAGATGGAGCCTGAGTAAGGACAGTAGTTGCCATAACTTAACCTCTGAAGACAGAAGATGTGTGTTCCATCTCCATTCGGCTATCTACCATGACACTTGATTTCACAGAGCTTCAATTTTCTCACCTAAATAGGGTTAACAATACCCACCTCATAGGATCAAGTGAAGTATATAAAAGTGTTTCAAAAAAAGTTTTACACTTGTTTTCCGCCTCATCACTCAATAATATAATAACGCTATGCATGCAAATACGCTGACTGCATATTTTTCATGTTTGCTGTGTGTAAAAATTGTCACAGAAAACAACAGGGGTAAATATCCGTCGCCCCACCCACTCAGTCCCAGATCCCGCTGCATCCTTTGCTTTTCTGTATTTCGCACAGCTGGGGGGCGGGGGGGGGTGCAGTCACTGAAACTAACATTGGAACTCCTGGTGACCTTGAGATAAAACTCTTTCGTCAAGCCACCTCCACCACCGTTCTGACACACACATTCCTATGCAGTCCCAGAGCAAATGAACAACAACCCAGCTGTCATAGTCACTAAAGAGACCCTCAAAATGAACACACGACGTGTTTGGAGTAGGAAGGTTGGTTGTTTTCAAAATGAAGAGGAAAAGCTACCGTGTACTCTAGCGCCTACTCTGCAGAGACGAAAGGAGAAGACCTGGGCACAAAAGTTCTGCGTCTTGTTTCCAAACACACAATACAAAGGCAGACACCCCAAGGCCCCCGGGAGCGGCAGATCTGCTCGCAGCAGCACCCACCACCTCCCACACGCAGGATGCGCTCTCAGCGCAGCGCCTCACCTGTCTTGAAGACCATCTTGTCCTGGTCGTTCGACCCGAAGGTCTTCAGCATGGACACGAAGAGCACCCCGCAGGCGTTCTGGATACCAAATACAGACCCGTTGCACCACATGGCCGCCAGCATCACCAGCCAGCCCCAGCCGCCCTCGGGGGGCTCTGGGGGATCGGAGCCTACCGGGTCCGTCAGTTCCACCTCCTCGGCGGCCGCCTCGGGGCCATCTGAGGGTCCCGGGCCGGGCAGCGGAGCGGTCTCCATGGGCTCATGGTAGGGTGGCGGCGCCTCGTTCGTCTCCAGCGCGGCAGCGGATTCCTCTTCGGAGGGCATCATGGCCCAAGGCTGCCCACTCGGCGCCGGGAAGTGCGAGAGGCAAGAGTTCCCGGCAGCTCCTGTAGGAGGTGCCGGGAGGGCTAGTGAGGCCGAGGCGAGGGATCTGGAGCTCCTGGAGAGAAGGCAGGCGGCGCAGGGCACCGAGGCTGGAGGGAGCACAGCAGCGACGCCCGAGCAACTCAACGATCGGAGCTTTAGGCTGCGTGCACCACGAGCCCACACCTGCACCCGGAGGGCGGCGGATCTTAAATACGCCCATCCCCTCGAGCTGGGGGCGTGGCCTCGGAATGGCAGAGGTGGGGCTCCGCGGAGCTGGTACAGTCCCGGCGCCCTACTCTCCGCCTTTTGTGGACCCAGGTGTCTACCGACAGAGTCCTGAGTATGTCAGAGTCTATGCGCGCGTCTTGGGACTTCTTCCTACCCAGTGGGAATCGCAAAATATGTCTATCATGCCACCTTAGAGTATGAGCACCAGGGGCGCGTCTGGGTGGGACATCAGAAGAACAGTAAAAGTTCTTCTTTAACCTGAAAAAGCGTCACCAACAAACCCTAACATTGTCTCTTTGTTTTGTATTTTATCATTTACCACTTTCATTAAAGTTCCATTATGTTGCCTGCCTACTCAAAAAGGAAGTCGAAAGAATCAGAGGCCTTACTTAATTCTTCTGTTCAAGTCTTCCAATTCATATGCAATTTCCTATGAATACCTGGTACACTGAAGATGCTCTTTTTGGAGGATAGAGAATAGTACCAAAGTCTTCAACCAACAAATATTACTGAAAGACAGCTAGAAAAGTGTCTTTTTAAACTGCAGCACAATTGTTTTGTCTTTAAGCCCAAATTAAAACTCCTTTACTCCCTGCCTCTCCACCTCTTCCTCACCCCCTACTCCCTTCAAGCATGGAGTATCAAAGTCTGTAAAAGAAAGGAAATGTAGCAACGTCATATTGCTCACGCTCTTTAATTTCACGGTTACTGGGATACTTCATTTCAAAGTCAAAACATACTAGTCTCCTTATGTGCCTGCCACTGTGATGGAGACTGCAAGGGTGTACGCGAACGAGTGTTATTTAATTGCTCACGTTTGTGCCTCCACAAATTCATAAACTAGTAAGAAACACAAAATCCTGGGACAGAATAGGAGTGCAGATGATAAGCATTATAATAAATGATAAATGCATTACAAAGTGAGATGGGTGGTTGTTGTTAAGCGCAGGCAAGTTGGTTCCCAGTCATAGCGACCCCAGTATAGGGCTTCTGAGGAGTGGGTTTGAATGATCTACTTCGAAGTTAGCAGTCTTGTGCTTAAATTCTCTTTTAAACACTAGAAAAGAGCTTCTGTAGAAAGCAGACTTTGAGCTGAGCCTTGAATCAAGCACCGGACTTCAATGGGCAAAGATGAGGGGAGAGTAGAGGTGCATTCCAGAGAAAAATATGCAAAGCTAAGGAAAGATAGGTGAACTTGGGGAACACAGTTCAAGGATAATACGCCTCGAGAATGAGGTTAGAATAGTAAACTAAGGAAATAGTCACACACGTGCACAAAGATGAAGGTTCAAGCATTACCCTGGTTGTTGAAAACAGGAAAATTGGAAGCAAAAATGTGCATCAGCAGAATATCTAAAAGTTAGCAGTTCATCTATATTTATTGACCTAGAAAAGTGTCCACAACATATTATTGAGCCAAGAAAGCACTCAAATATATATATATGGATTATAACACAAAATAGAAAAGAAATATTCATGAGTTCATAATGATGTAAATAAACCATTGAATAAATAAATAAGTAGATGGAGAAGAATAGCTAAATACCTCTTGCAGAGGAATTCCAACTAATTTATGTATCTATTCCACTCTCAAGAACTCAGTGGCTCTGTAGGATGAGCGCTGGACTGAGTACCACAAGGCTGTGGTTCGAGCCCATCTCAGAAACCCTGTTGTTGTTATTGCTGTGTGTTGTCAAGTCATTTCCAACCCATAGAGACGCTGTATAGGGCTCAAGGTAATCTTGAACCGTAGATTTTGTGGTTCAAACTGACACTGCAGTCCAGTGCGTTAACCCACAGTGCCACACCAGCAATTAGTTGGAACCAGTTTGAGGGCATTTACAAGAACTCCACCCTCAAGGAGGTAAAGTACAACTTTTCTCTCCATAAGTGTAGACTGCACAGAGTGACTCCCTTCCAAATGTTGTTAAGTGCTAAGTCAGTTCCAACTAATAGTCATCCTGTATAGAGTTTCCCAGGAATGGCTGGTGGGTCTGAACCCCTTACCTTGCTGTGAACAGTCCAATGTGAACAGCGCCACACCTGAAAAGCATATTGTACAAAAACCCGTTGCCATCGAGTCAGTTCTGACTCACGGTGGTGGTGGTGTGACGTGAATTTGGTTCTGACTCATAGCAACCCAGCATAGGGTTTCCAAGGCAATAAATCTTGACAGGAGCAGAAAGCCTCATCTTTCTCCCGTGGAATGGCTGGTAGTTTTGAACTGCTGATCTTGAAGTTAGCAGCCCAACTGGTAACCACTACGTGACCAGCCCTCCTTATTCTGACTCATAGCAACCTTATATATGGAAAAAGAAAGTAATAACTTTAACGTACAGAAATATGACAAATATTACTTCAACAAGGTGATCAAAGTTAATATCACCAGTGATACATTATGTTAATAATAGAAGGTCACCTGGATATGCTGTAATGTAAATAATATTTTACCTCTGTGGTCTTCCTCCAAATGCCCATAATCCCAGTCTAATTTTGAGAAAAATATTAGACAAATCTTAGTTAAGAGACATTCGACAAGACACCTGGTTAAGCATTTGGTTACTAACCAAACGATTGTCAAGTTCGAACCCACCAGTCACTGCATGGTAGAAAGATATGGAGTCAACTTCTATAAAGGTTTGTTGTTGTTGTTGTTAACTGTCATCCAGTTAGTTCTGACTCAGAGCAACCCTGTATTAGTTTCCAGGGAGCGGCTGGTGAGCTTGAACCACCTATGTTGCAGTTCAAATGACCTTGTAGTCCAGCACATTAGCCCACAGCGCCACACCAGGACTCACCTGGAAACACTAGGAAGCTGTTCTACTGTGCTTGATATCAGTTGATATGGGTTGGAATAGCCCCCATGGCAACCCATTACTTTCCAATATTGTCAAGGCCACTAAAAGCAAGGAAAGTCTGATAAACTGTCACAGCTCAGAGGAGCCTAAGGAAAGACTAAATGCATGTGGTATCCTAGATGGTATGTTGGAAAAGAAAAAGTTTTCACATTCACTGAAGATTAACATAATCGGAATAAATCATGTTACTTATATTTGTACACTATATAGAGAGAATATTATTTTTAAATATATGGTTCATTCTCAAAATTCTTTTCTGTTGACATGTCAACATTCTTTTTTCTATTTTTTCTTTTTTAAGCATTAAGCAGTGTACCTTATTGTCAGAATTGCTAAAGTCTGACGCTTCTCAGAGATGGTTGGTTTCGAAGAGCTCTGACTTAAAGATTAGAGTGTTAATGTCTGCAAAACACTTGCACAAGCCTGACACACAGCCAGCTCTTAGCAAATGTTAATGGTTGTTAATTTTTATTATTATTGCTATTGATTACACCAATGTTTGTTTCTAATAGCCCCTTCACCATTGTTTTATTGCAAACAAAGTAATTCAAAGGGGTGTTCATATTTTAATAAAACACTATTTTTTCAAGCACAAAAATCTCAGATCTGGAAATTAAAATACAAAAACCTTTAAATATAGAGATTCAGACACCCTTGTCCTCAGCTGGGAGAAAGATGAGAGACTTTGTGCTCCTGTAAAGATTTACAGTCTCTGAAACCTCGTCAGGATAGATGTGAGTCAGATTAGACTCGTTGGTAGTAGCTTGGGTTTTCTTTTGGTTCTTTGTCCTCAGTTGGAGACCGGGTGGTGCATTGATTTAGCCATTGGGCTCCCAACAGAAAGGCTGGCATTTTGGATCCACACGCTACTCCGTAGGCGAAAGATGAGGCAGTTTGCTTCTAAGTATTTACAGCCTTGGAAACCCTACAGCACAGCTCTACACTGTCCTATAGTCTCGCCCTGAATTGGAATAGACCTAACAGTAGTGGGTTTGGTTTTTGTCCTCAGCTATTATGTTAGTATTGTTTAAGATTTTTTTTTTTCCTTTCCACTAGTCACTCTTTTCACAACTCACAGTTTGGGGTAGGGAAAGGCAAAACCTGATACAGTCTCTCTCACTACTAATTTGATCTGTTTGACAAGGTTGGCTCAGTAACTCCAGGGTAAAGTACACCCACTCCTCACTTATCAACATGGTTAGGTTCCAGGTTGTTGTGTGAAAATAAGCATTATGCAAAAATGGAGGATGACCCCATCAAATCACAAAATGTAGGATGACTACATCATTACATGATCACCAGAGCACTGAGAATTATGGCCCAGCCAAATTGACACATAACCTTAACCAATAGTCAGCATTATTTTCACCTTACACCATTTTTTTTTTTTTTTTTTTTTTACCATTAGACATACGGCATTAATGCGTAAAATAGTCACATATGGGGTGTTTTTTGTTTTTTATTATTTTTGTAAACGCAAAATTGTCAGATAGTGAAATAGTTGATAAGTGAGAAATAGGTATTTTCTTCTACACCACAATCTGAATGGAGGATGCATGTAGAAGTTTTACCAACAAAAACTGAAGTTCCAATCAAGTTACTCTAGTGAGGAGCTTTGCTTTCATTCCCTCTCTTCCCTTTGCTTTTCTCAATTTTCTAAGTTGGCAAAAGGAAAGAAAATATCTTTATGTAAAATGAAATAGAATGAAAGCAGTTTGTAAACTATAAACTGCCTTTAACATTAAAATTAAGCTATTACTTTAGTTTTCTGTATTCCATGAAATATATTAATTTGTGATCCCCAAATTGAATTCTGGCTTGAAATTGAATTATTAAATCAGGGAAGTCTGTTTTTGGCACTTTTGTTATCTTACT